CTCCCTCCCGGGGCTGCGGGTCGGGGGCAGGGGAGGGGCGTCGGGGGTCTTGTGGTGGAAGAGGCGCCCACACGGGACATTCTGGGGGCTGCTGAGGCCTGGGTGTGGCCACTTGGGGTGTCCCTTCCTGGACCGGGCGGTCCCCACCGGCCACCGTCCCCGTGCCCTCGGACCTGCCCGCGCCCGGGCCAGTGCCCAGGCGCCCGCCCTTGCAGGTCTCTCCCGCCCTTTCCTGGCCGGCAGGGGCCTCTGGCCTGGCACAGACCTGGCCGCAGCCTGGCAGGGCTGGCCGGTCGTTCCGCTGCGGCTGCCGGACCGGGGGGACAGGACAGGCCGTCGCTTCCTGGCGGCCGATGGTCTCTGGCTGTCCCTCGGCCGGCTGAGTGTGGGCCGGGTCCTGGCTGAGTGGCGAGGTGGCCCGGGCAGTGGTGGCCACGGCTGCCGCCCGAGGCTCCAGGGAGTGGAGGCCTGTGTGCCGCAGGGGGTCCGCTCCTGCTCGTGGCTGGCGGTCTGGGGTCTCCAGAGCCCCGCTGTCCTCTCGGGTGGCCAGGGGGACTGCCCGGTGGGAGGACGCGAGTGAGTGCCTGGCCTGAGCCTGACCACGGTGACCCCCAGGCTCCGGGTTGCCCCTGGGGGTCTCAGCGCTGTGGGGACCCCCGTCACCAGGGGCAGCCGGGCGCAGGAGCTGGTAGTCTGAGGTTGGTCACCTTGTCCCTGCGGCCGGGGCCGGGGCTCCCGAGGCGAGGCTGGTTCCAGCTGGCCAGGAGGCCCACCCGGCCCTTACACGTGGACACTTGGCTCTCTGCGGAGGGGGGAGGGGCGCTATTGCTGCCCCAGGGGCTTGAGGACTCCCTGACCCCGTGGCTGCGCCTCTGGGCCCGTCACCCTGCTGACCGCGCCACTCTGGATCTTGGGCTGTGGGGGGGCGCTCCCTGGGGCAGCAGGGGCCCCTGGCCTGCACTGTGGCCTGGGGGGGGCTGCCCCGGCCCCCAATGAGCCCCAGGCTGCGGGGGAGGCCCAGTGCCCGGCCCCAGGGACAGTGACTTGTCTGGGTCTGGCTCTCCTCCACCCCTGGAGAAGGGGGCAGTCCGAGCGGGCATCTCCAGAGTGACCTCTCCTGTCTCTCTGTGTGTCGTGCGTCCGCCCGTGGTCCCGGAGCAGTCAGAAGGTCAGCTTGAGAGACCGCGTCTTCTCCAGCCCGCGGGGCGTGGCCGCCAAGGGGAAGGGGTCCCCGCAGGCCCAGGCCGTCCGGCGGTCGCCCAGCGCTGACCAGAGCCTGGAGGACAGTCCCAGCAAGGTGCCCAAGAGCTGGAGCTTCGGGGACCGCAGCCGGGCCCGCCAGGCCTTCCGGGTCAAGGGCGCCGCCTCCCGGCAGAACTCTGAAGGTGGGTGGGCGCCCCGGGGCCTGCCGGGGGGCCTCGGGGCCGGCCCGGTTCGGCTGCTGCTGCCGCGGGCTGGCGCCCGGCCTGACGCTGCGTCCCCTGCCCAGAAGCCAGCCTCCCGGGGGAGGACGTCCTGGAGGACAAGGGCTGCGGCTGCGAGTTCGTGGCGGAGGACCTGACCCCGGGCCTCAAAGTCGGCATCCGGGCCG